TTGCAGAAATGTAATGAGACTATCACATGGTTGGATACCAACCAGCAAGCGGAGAAGGATGAGTTCGAGTATAAACAGAAGGAATTGGAGCACATTTGTAGCCCAATTATAACGCGTTTGTACCAAGGTGGCGTACCACCACCACCACCACCAAATGCAGCTGGTGGTGGTCCCGGTGCTGGTGGTGCTGCTGGTGGGCCGACAATTGAAGAGGTGGATTGAACGAGTTTTGGGCGCCAAAATACGTTTGGTGGAATTTAAAAAGTTAAAAGGCGTAAAACATATTTTTTGACGTTCTTTTATTTTTCTAAATAACATTTTTTTTTATTTTTTGTTATCTGATGCTTTAATTCGTATTTGATTATCATCTATTTTACATATCTATACATAAATTGTAACAACATAAACTACACAAATTGTTTTGGAATTGTGGTTATGGCGAAAGGATAATAAATGTAAATCGATTTTGTGGTTTATTGTGTTGTCGTTATTTCTTTTCTTTGTTGTAGAGTTTTGTACAGCTAACCTTTTTCGTGAAGTGTGAAATACGCTTCTCTTAGACGCATACCTAAAGTATGCAATGAACTTGAAGGAAGAAAGCATAATTCATTGCATACAGGATGTTTTACTATGTTTGCTGTGATCGAAAGATAAGTATACTTGTTTGAACTCAATTTATGCAAAATTTTAAATTTGAAAAAATCGTAATAGCAAACACGTTTAAACATTTTAGGCTCACTTTTGTTTATACAACACCTCCAATTGATCTTAAAAGATCCTGGAATTTTCAAGAAGATGTTGTTTTAAATATGAATTTTTGAACTTTGACACATTTCTTTTGCTAACTCTAAGTAAAGTTGTGGTAAACAATATTTAATTAATTTAAATATATTTTTAATTTAGAATAGGGGTGTGCGATTAATCGATTAAATAAATTATTGATTAATTATAATCCTGATTAAAAGTAACTAATATTTTAATTATTATTTTTTTCATAAAATGATGTGGGGAGTTGTAATTTGATGAAATCCATCATATAAATCAAAAAGTGAATTTTGAATTTTTTATTAGTTAGTTGCATTTCAACGATGATGTTTGTTACGTCTTTTTGCATTTCAGTTGACGATATACATATGCATATGACTAAAATTTTTTTTTATATTAAAAAGATGTTTAGCGATTATTCAGTTTTCTGATTAATAAAATTAATTAGATTTTGATTAATCCTAATGAAATTAATTGAGAAAAGAATCCCTTCGATTCATCAAAAGTGATTATTTTTTTGATTAGTTAATTAATCAGTTTACGATTAATCAGCTTGTTCGATTAATTGATTAATCACACATCCTTAAGGAAAGATTTAGGATGTTTTAAGAGCCAAAAATTTGTGTAAGTTCTTGCTTTCACGAATTTTTAAATTTCAAAATTCTTTAACTTTTTTCTTTTCAGCTTTTGTTAAATATTCAACTTTTCTATAGCCCCATATATCACATTTAAAACGAGACCAGAAATATTTTTGTAATAGTTTGCAAAATCCGAGTGAAATTCCTAAAAAAAAATTTTATTTTTTCCTTTAGCAGAACTTCCCAACCCTTGGTCGATTTGGCACGGATTGACCCATATATAATGTATAAATTTATCTCGATTTCTTTAGGCTATTATAAGCAAACTTGAGTATAAAAATTCGTTGTAATAACCAATACCGACTTTGAAACTGTTGAACATATTTTTAACATGAAAAATGATGCTGAAATTATAATAAAAGCTAAATATACATACGTACATGAAACTCATGTTAATGAAACTTAATAAGTTCTATAGTTTATATATGTACTGTTCAATTTTTATTAGTAAATTTTATTGTAATTTTCCAAAACAGTTTTTACAATATTTGTAGTAAGTATGTAGTGGGCCTGTCTTTAGTATGAAGTACTTCAGTTATAGGCTGTTGGGTAGGGTTAGCAAAATTTCTACAAAGTTCTTTTTACAATATTTCTATTTGGTATTAAAGGCCTATTTTATAATAGGTAAGTACTATGTATGTAAGTAAGTACATAATCAACCAGTTCCTTTTTTAAGCTAAAATTAAACTATGTATGTTTTTAGTTTTTAGTCGTTACTATCTTTTTACCGTAAACTTTTTGCTTAAATAACTTTAACTATTACGAGCATATCTTTTTCGTTAAGTACTTTCTTGTTCTTGTAAGTATGTATGTATGTATGTATAAGTGTTAAGTTTAGAATTATTTAACTACAATATATCTACATATAGTAAATAGTTCACAAGGGTTAACACAACACAGGTTTAGGCATGGTTATAGAGCGTCTCTTTCGACTACGAGCACTATGCTTAAATTGGTAGATAGGTAAACAGGCATGTAAATATATCCGTATTTTTTTTATTTTTCTTGTGTATAGTTCGAACACTAGGTATACATAGAGGATAGTTATAGACTAGGTATCTAAATTAGCAGCAGCACAGGTTGTAAGAAAAATATTCTAAAAATATATGGATATGTTCTACAAAGAAATGCCTACTAGGAGCTATTATTGTTACTAAAAAATGGTTTGTTTCTAAAAATTTATGGTGAAAACATCTTGCTTGTTAAGTTAGAAAATGATCAGATTATCAATGATTCACTTTATGGGTGAAAGAATTTTCAAAATGTGTTTGGCAGAAATTCAAGAAGAATGTGTTTAAGAATGGTTCCGAAAATATAAATCTAAAAGTCCACTGGCTGTTTCTGGACAAAGAAAAACTAGATAATGTGATTCAAGAGCTTCATCATTTGAGTCCTAGATCAGTGTTTTTTATTGGCCAAGGAAATATGCTTTTACGACGGAGTCCGGCTCACTTCATATACATACATATGTATATATGAAAGGACTGACATGAAATCAATCAGTTCGTAATGTTACCTCTGAATGCGAGTAAATAGAAGTTTAAGCTGCTGCGATATTCAGAACGTAAATTAGGTTAATTTAGGTTGAAGCGGCTGCCTGATCCAATGATGGAGAGAGGCATACTTAGGCCCATTGGGTCCGTTGTTAGATGAATTTTGACCTCGTATTCGATCCCGTCCGTTCGGCTAGAAGTGGAACCAGTTGGTTAGGTTTCTAAAACGCAAGAATCCGTAAATGCCTGATTCGGTATGTGACGTGGAACCCAGACAATGTGGGTAGTAGACTTTGAAGCTAACTCTTTTAGGACTTTTCTACGTGCTACCGCAATACAGGGTACTTATACTGCCAAATTTAAGTCGGAGCAGCATAGTTTCCTTCGTAAAAACCATTTTGCTGCCAAATAGACTACACATTTACTCTAGTTGAATTTCAGATGGCTGCTCGTTTAGTAGAGCTTTCAGGAACATGCCAAGAAGACCTATTCAATGTTTTACAATTGGAGAAATGACGTTTGCATTGAACAAAAGAAAGTTTGGATGTTTCGTTGAGTGGACAGTCATTGCGCTGAACATAACTTCATTTCGATCAATACTTTTGGATAACCTAAAGTTAAAGACGTCTGCTTAAAGTCAATCGTGTTAAGTGAGCGAACTCTTGTAAGAACTTCCATAGTTTTTTCAGTTAGTATATGTACGAGTTTGTAGATATATATTCGCGCATTGATGAGGACGGCGTGAAAGTGTGTGTTTAACTAAAGGACGGACGAAATGTACTAACATATCGATTTTTAGTCTATTATTGAAAGTGATTTTTAGTTTTAAGTAAGTGGTTTTTATAAACCATTTAACTTAAATTTTTCAATGGGACGTAATCTGAAGTGGGCGAATATTTTGTTGAAATGAATTTGATATGTAGCTAATATGTAGTCCAAGAATTCTTTGACTTTGTTAAAACTGTATTTTTTTTTTTAAACAATAATTCTATGTAAAAGGCGTATGCCGTTTTAGAAAAGGCATACACTAAGTAAGGAAAGTTTACTGTACAAATTTTGTGTAGGTGGTGACGCTGGTAGTACTAAAATGATAGTTGTATAGATATGCGCTAATTTCGGTTAACCCCCTACAAGACAGCTGAGTATCATATGAGTGCTCATGTTCACCATTATCACTAATTACAAAAGTGCTTATCAAAGGATTCATTTTTGTTGAGGCCATGGGAAATAATATTGAATACTTTTCGCTCTATTTTGTTATTAGAAAGTCCTCAGTACTAATAGCCAAACAACACATTTATGCCATACTACAAAAAGAAAATCATTTGATAAATGCGCATGTATTAGAGACGAATGAAAAAAGTGTTAATGTGTTAGAATTTTCGCCTAAAGTGCTCAGCAATGTCTTGTAGGGCCGTATATGTATGTAAGTGTTTAGGGACCGTAACAGTATAGCAGTAAAGTTTCAGCAACAAAGCAAAACAGAGCTACGTACATACATACATATGTAACTACATATGTAAATAAGCTGTTTTAAATTGTGTAATATAATTAATATCTTTAGTATACAAAGGTACTCAAACAAACTCACTAAAATATTGTATAATTTAATTTTTTTTTTGTAATTACATAGAATTAGGCTAACACAGTTTATTTTGTGTGTGTGTGTGTGTATTTTAAATTCTATTTTTTTTGTTATTTTTGTTTCGTTTTGTATTACATGTAGTGTGTGTTTACATACATTCATAAGTATAAATAATACAAGTATGTATGTATTCAGTAAATTTGTATTTATAAATTTTTCTTTGTAAATAATACTGTTTTATACTAATACTACACATCAAAGCGAATTTGATGCTTTTGTTGTGTGTGTGTGTGTGTGTGTTAAAAAGTACAAAGGAAATTTGACTTCATTTACTTTATTATTGTGACTTGAATAAGTTTACGCTATTACACGGCAGCCATGATCAAGCAAAATGCATTCAAAACTTCACAAGTACTCGAATTCTAAATTCCCGCTTTACGACGATTTTACTTCGCTTTCTAAAAGAGGGTCGAAATGGAAATAATGTACACCGCATTGTTGATTGCAGTGCTTCTTAGCACATACAAAACAGCAATTCTAGCTACTGTCTTACAACCCGCCACAGTTTTTTCGAAACAATTGTCAATTCTGGCCACTATCTTGAAAGCTCTTTTCGGTCTTTCGAAAGACTAGTGGCCTTTTTCTCAAGTAGGTTTTAAAATTTATCTGCCCCTTAAACACAAATTTTGTTCTAAAAAATGTGTTGGCAGATAATTTTAAAACCTACTTGAGAAATCGACACAAGCTGATAGATCTGCTAACGAGGACATCTAAGGGGGACAAACGAATTTGGTTCAAATCGTATCCCAATCGTGTGAATGCAGAAATAGTTGTCTTTATCCTAATCACGACAAACAGTTTGTACACATTTTTCAATAGAAGTTCGCTGTATTTTACCAATCGTGTGACTACAAAAAATAA